GTACTTGTCATGCATGAAATGAAGGAAGGCAAGTGCACATGTTTCGAAAATGTGATTTAGAAAAACACTTTCAGTTAAACCTAATGGTCGTGTGAAAGTGTTTCTCGGTGAGGGAGATATTTTTAAATATGGACCACAGGCACCCTGTGACTTTTTCTGTGAACTCTTAGTAGCAGGCAGACATCCTGCCTCTGAGCTGAAATGAAAGGAGAGCAACAAAGCCTTATATGAAGAAATAACGAGCACCACTGTATTCAGTGAACCATAAGAGCTCTGTTTCTCTGTAACAAGTTAAACATCCAAGACCTTTCTCGACATTGTTCTTTGTATTTGTTTTTATTAAATGACAGCCATTAGTCACAAATAATGTCTTTTTATGTGCTATTCCTAAAATGTGAGATCCGTCTTGTATGGAATAGCATCTATTTGGCATGTGGTTTCAGCACTAAATTACGACCAGCCAGTTAGTGTCTGGCAAGCATGATTTTCAAATGTTATAGAAGGTTCTTTGTCAGAATGACTGTTGCCCGGCTCCAGAACATTTGCAGAAGACAAAGCCGCCTTTAGAGGATGCGTATCTAGCTGTCAGCGAACAAGTGGTGCAAAGTCACAGAACGGTAAACACATGCCAAGTCATTAAAACATGAATTATACCCTTGGCAGGCAGTCCCAGCCACAGGAGAAATATGATAAAAATGTTCACACTGGAGTAATCCGATTTAAAAAAACATCCCTGTATTAGCGGTAGTACTGAATATACAGTATTTATACAAATTCAGCAAAGTCAAAAGTAGGCCATAGTTTAAAGGAAATCTGTGAACCAGATACAGAAGCAAAGGGAGATACATCAATCCTGCAGTTTCCAGTTACCAGAAATCTCTCATTGACTTGTACCGGTATTCAGTTATTTCAATGCTGGCTGCTGTGCTCAGCAGACTCGTAATTGGAAGCGGATCAATGGAAAGATCAATATTTCATCATATTGCAACTCTTTCATGCTAATTAGTCTTGTGTGCTCCCCATGTAGACTCTCTGTTAATTATTCAGCTCTCAGGGCTACACACAGGGCTACATTCATTCTATATATATTTGTGTAGCTAGGGCTAGAGCCCACAGGTGAAGCCTTCATCAGAGCCCATTCCTGGAGTCAGTAGCAGTAAGCAGATGAACGAACACTTGTCTCCTCCTGGATGGGAGCAGGGATTACTCCCCAGCAGTGCTGGTCAACATTTATTTAGCTGGGTGGACTGGGGCTACTGGCGTTAAGCACCTCACTCCATGGTACAACAGCAGTGTGTCCAGAGGGGACTTGAACCCACAACCTGCCAGGCATGAGTCTACAGGGGTACACACAGTATACTATACGCTACACTATACTACCCCTTTGCTGCCCAAAGACTACATTAACTATTATTCTATACAATATTAAAAAGGCAGCTAAAGGTAACTCCAGAGAATTCAATAATATGTCTTCTGATAAAAAGTTACTGGTAAGATTAAACGTGTCTTTATTCAAAATCTATGCAATGTGAGTTAAGAGATCCAGCAGGCAATGAAGAAGAATATATCTTAGCAATAATGCTGTTTTCTTTTTAGATGAGTCACGATTTTCCATAGCAGTAGTTTTAAAATGTATGATTCAGTGTTGCTCAGGACCTCTGAGTTGTCATAATCTAGCCCTTTTAATTGTTGTTTATAAAGCTACACTGGTATTATGTAACCAGCTGCGTAGCATACATCATAGCACAGAAACAACAGTCTAAACATGTCAGACATTGCTTATTTCCATAGGAGAATACATTTTCTCACAACCAGTGGAACACCTTTGGCTAACGTATACAGGCATACTGTATGAGGCCTTTGCTGACCTGACACAGGACGTTAAAGTAATGAACCTCTGAAAGACGTAATCTCTCAAACTGTAAATACTGTATACACAAGAGTCTGACTTCAGCACACACCTCTTGAAGAATTAAAAGACAAACTACTGTATGTGGCCGTTTTTGAAGTGAAAAGAGCCTCAGCAGCCTCAGCCAGATGTTAAGACTTTGTGAATACACCTGAGGAAAGTTGTCTCTGAGTAAATTACTCATTTATTCCCCATAGCCATACTCCCCTAAACTAGACTATCTCTTACTGAGATGTGTTATTATTTCTCTTTGAAAAAACACTGTTAGATCCTAGAGAAAGTGACTCCAAGATAATACACAGGCATTTTTATTTGTCAGCTTCTCAGAAGATTATAGGTCAAGACAAAAAAAAAAAACACACACAAATGTTGCCTGAGCCTTTTTAATCCTGTAATTTTAAAATTTTCTTAAGTGGTTGTATCTGGTGGAATACGTTGTTAAACATCTCCTTATTACTAATTTAATAAGGTATTTCACAATTTTGTTTTCCATAGTCTCAAAGAGTGGAAACACCCAGGGCTTTTATAAAAATGTTTTTGTGACTTCACTTGTTGTGCTGTTCTTAAACTGCCCTGCCTAGTCTAGCAGTTTTGTTTCCCTTCACAGTAAAGCAGAAACAGAAACAAGAAGAAATAAAATTCACACTGATACTGACTAATGTTTCATTCAAACTCTATTCCATTTTTATGGCTGCCATAAGTTTCTGTTTTTTATTGTTTTACTCTTAAGTATTCTAAATCTAAAACCTCAGTGCTTGATTAATGGTTGTGATGAAAGAGTTAAGCCGAGGCTGATCCCTGCAAGTTCCATACGAGGAAATGTATTTCAAAAGATGTTTTGGTCTTTTGAATTCTGAATACTGCCTCTGTGCCAGAAAAAAACACCTAAATAATGAAAACACATTTCCTAGAATAGACCTGCGTTTTACTTTCATGATAATTTTCAAAGAACAGAGCTTTTGGCCAAATCAGGAAAAACTCGTTCAGTGTAAGAATTATTGATTGACTATGTGTAACGGACTATTTCACAGTAGGTGTTTATTTTACCTGCTGCTATGGTTCGCTACAGTATTGGTATTCACTTTAATGATCTATACTGTTTAACATAAAAAGACTTAAAAGAGCTTAAAAATGTAAGTATAGGCAAAAAAGATGACTAGTTAAAAAGAAAATATGATTGAACTTTTTTAGTTACAGGAACATAAGCGATAATAATGTAGTTATCTTGAAGTGGGTTTCAGGGTGCTGTTTGATTCTCTCAGTTTCAAAACTCACACCCTCACCCTACGCAATTCTCTTCCTGTGATTGATTTAGAGTGTGACTATCAAGGCAGCGCCACTCAGTGTTGCTGGGCATTTCTCCCTTTTTGGGCTGTGTTGTGGAATAGATAAGGTCTTGTTTGAAAATGTTTTGGGAGACATCCCCTGCAGCCTTTTGAAGAAGTATGCTATTTCATGTGCGCATTGGTTTAATCGCAACTTTCTGCAACCAGCTGTTTTTATATCCTCTGCTTTTCTTTGGATTTTTCAAAATAATGCACACACTCCATCTGCTTCTGAGCAGAACATGCACGTTTCTGACAGCCAGATATCTTCAGTCCCTTCTCCCACTCTCCCACTCTCTGGTTTGACTCTTTTTTATGCCTTCGGAGACTCATTCTGAAACAATTTCTTGCTTCCACAGCTGTAGTATAGTGGAAGTGGGTTTTGATGTATTGATCAGTGGGTTGATGTGTGGTTAGAGTGTATGGAAAGCTGACTCATTTGCTGCACTGTCATTTTTACCATTTGTATCATTTTAACGGAGCTTGGAGAAAAAGACACAATCTTTTTTTGCAGTGCTGCTGTGTGTGTTCCAATGCTACTAAAGGCATTATGAGCAATCTGTACTGGAATTTCTAACAGACATTTTCTAAAGAAACATACAACACAATGCCGTAAGAACTCAACCTACGGTACACATGATATCATGAAACCAAGCAGAATCAACAGTGACACTACTGTTATATGTTTTACATCTTGATAGGTTTCAATTGTAAGTCACTTTGGATGAAAGCATCTGCCAAATGAAATGCACAAATACAAAAATGGACTGGCAGGAAATTCAAGGTGTAATAAGCAAAAGAAAAGAACTGCAATTATTTCATAAAATTATTGGATTTATTTTTGAACTGATTTCTTGCATGCTTGAACCTCCCAGTACAAGAACATACTGAAAAGGAGCCTAAGTTACTGTAATATATGTTTTGTGCTTTGACTGTGAAAAGCAGAAATAGGTTTGTCAAGACACGGTATATAATGATAATTGTGTGTAGATGCATTGACTTCCATGTTTACATTCCTCCGATGTCTGCATGCAAAACATACACACATCTACACACATTCAGCCTTAGATAAGAACTGCTCAGAAGTTACCTTTACTTCTTTGCAGCATTATTACAGTTACCCATATATTTGACATTTTTATCCAAAGCCACTTATCTGCACCCACTTGAATAGCTGGGTATTTTAGAGGAGCTGTTCTGGTGCTTGCTCAAGGATAGGAATAGCAGTGCCTCACCCAAAGTGAACACACTCTTTCAGAGAAACAGCCAGAACCCTAACCACTCCGCAACAATGATGCCCTACTTATACTATATAAATACCATTGTTTCAAAGTATCACCTGTCACTGAGTCATTGTTGCCTGTCATTCTCACTGTCAGGGTTGCTATACATGTGCATTTTATAGTACTGTAACTTCTTTTGCCATCCAACAGTTCTGCTCCTATCTCAGTTTCCACCACGCCAACGTACAGTAACAGCACTTTCTGCTAAAAGCAAAACTCCCCTATTAAAAGAAAATGGAACTGCCTAATGGATCTCTTTAATTAGGCCACACTTTTGAAGTTTATTGTGTTGTCACAAAAGGTAAAAACCTAACAGGTGTAAACTCAGCTGGATGGCGGTGAATTTTTTATGAATATGTCCTCAGTGCGGGTGAGAGGAGCAGAGAAAAGTTGGGTGTCTGCATAGAGGTGGCTGTGGGGTAAGGTGATCTCCATGTGAACGCGAGCTGATTATTTTCCCTCTTACCTCTGACCTACTTCCAGAGCGCTGGTTTTTATTGCCCATGGGGCTGCAGAGCACTGTGGAGGCTACAGTGATCTGGCCCAGACGCTGACGGGACATTCCCTGCTGGCGTTTGCACACGATCACGGTGAGTATCACACAGACTTGCACCAATCACAGCATCACCAGCACGGATGTTTGTGCCGCCTAGTAGCCTAGGAGTGCTGACACATTTCAGGAAGGCAGTGTGGCACATTTCAGCCGAGAACATGAGAAAATCCCAGCTGCCTTCTGTGTCTTGGCACGTGTTCCTCATTATGCTGAACACATAAACCAGAAATAACCCCAGCAAGGAGACTCTCCACCCTCTCCCCCAAGTTTCTGGAAGTGATGAAGAGAATCATTTCAGACGCTTCATGGTTTATTCATGTCGGAAAACATCTTTGTGCCATTAAAGCTTTGAGCTGATCTTTTGATAGTGAAAGAAAGGAGTGCATTCTGCAAAATAACATTTCATCACATTCACGACCTCTTAATGAGGGGTTTTAAAATTTGTATGGTAAATCCAGTATTTCTAGACACTAATGGCTCTTGGAGTTCCCATAATATGAATTTTAAATGCCCATTTGTTGGTATTCAGTAATGATAAGTTTAGCTTAGGGTTAGAGTGTTAGGGATAGGTCACAGGTAAGGCTTTTATAGTATGTATCTAAACTTTTGTATTTTTTTTATTGAAATATACTTTATTAATATTATAAAGAGCCTTTACAACACAGTAAATTTATCAATAATTAAATGTATTTTATTAAATTAACTCTTCAATCTAAAGCATTCCTTTTTCTCACCACACAATAACACAGCATCCAGTCTGTCCAACAAAGCAGGGAAATTGTTATACTTACTAATTAATTGTTATACTTATACTTACGTAGAGACACTTATTTTCTGTACTTCTGTTACATTGTCTTTCTTGCCTCTAATTTTCTAAAGAAAATGCAAATGAAAAGTTAATTCTCTCTTTAGGCTTCAACTATGGTATGTATTTTGGATGTACAGTACTGTAGTACTATTCTGTGGTTCGTTGTCATTTTAGCAGTTTTCTTAAAATTATTTTTTTCTTTATTTTAATTTTTTCTAGGTATACTTTATTGAGAAAGTTTATTTTGTTGTCTGGACTAGTAGATTCAAGCTCTGTGTTCAACGAATTTACTCCTTGATCACATGATGCTTCATGTTAAGAATGCAGTTCTTTTTTCCCACTGATTGGCATTACAAAACAAAAAAAAAGTGTTGGAACCACATGTGGTTTTAGTGCTTCAGTAAAGCAGTCAGGTTTTAGGTTTACAAAGAAGAAGAATTTTTCTCAGTAAATTCAGAAATGGAAGTGTAAAAATCAACTTTGCAGTTTTATCACCAATACTTCTTATTTTGTTAAACTTAAGACCAGCGAACAAATGTGTTTAAAGATGTCTGATAGTACTGTTTTCCATTAAAAAAAAAACATTTAGTGTGGATTTCTACATTTCCCAACAAATAACCTTTGGACTGGCTCATTAGAAGAGTGCTGTTTTAAGGTTGTACAGTATGTCATATCTCAGTGCATTCAAACTTAGTTTCAGGGCATTCAAATTACATTTGGAAAAGGAAAGGCAAGACTGCTCTTGGAATGCCTTATGTAAGCACTTTGAACCTATTCTACATTAACTGTGGTATTTAAGTTAATAATTCTCTTCTTGTTCATGTTCTGTTTTACACACTTACTCCTGCTTACACTTATAAATAGAATTGGCACTAAACCACATTACATCAAGGACTGTATTTTAATCACACTGCTCAAAAGTTTAAATCACATTCTATATTTATTCTCTGTTGAAAATTAATCCTAAAACTATAAACTGAAGTAGGCAGAGAGTGATTGCTATATCTATTTCTCATGTATACTGATTTGTTTAGGAAATTATATTCAATAAGGAGGAATTATTATTATTATTATTATTATTATTATTATTAATGTTTTTTTAATTTACTTTAAATAATTACTTTGGTTTAACAGTGATAAACCCGTTATACCAAGCTCTGACCTGTTTCTAGTTATTTCTGTGCATAGTACGTTTACTTTCAAATTAGTCATGTTGTATTTCTTAAAATAGGAAATTGCTTTCCCATTCTGTAAGAGGCTGTGCATTTTGTCAGTGTCTGTAACTTTAAAAAGGTTACTAAGCAACAGTTACAACACAGATGTGTGTCATCATTGGCAGATGTGGAGCAGTTGACAGTTGTGCATTCTCATTTATTGTTTATAATATAATATAATAAAATAAATATCATATAAATAATATAATATTAATAATCATTTATATATTTCTTAAACTAAATAAATATTCAGAGATACTCACTGCAATGCCTATGCAATATTATATAATATACACTATATTTATATATATATAAATACATTTTATATGCCTGATAATGCATATAAGTGTATTTCTTAAACTAAAAAACATTCAGCGGTACTCACTGCAATGCCTGCCAAAACTTAAATCTTGGTGGTTTGCCAAATTATATTTTTTGCTTTCTTCTACTTCCAAAAGGGATAGAATTCTTGTCCTTATAAGGGTAGATTGTGTTCACCCAGTGATGGTATATCCACATAAATATGTCGTTCATGGTGGAAAAACACCCTCTTTTGAACTCACTAATGTACCAATGGATAATAGATAAACAGGCCAACGTGGAAATATTTACTTTAAACAGATAAACATTTTTTCTGAAGCATTCTAAAGGTTAGTCTAATGAGGCAAGTTATGATGTAATATTTAAACTTCTTTTTCTAAACTCTTAGTCAAAACATTGCATGTTTAAAAGAGTCAAATTCAAAAACAGTAAAGTATAGTGTAGCCAGCAACATTAGGCTACTGAGTACAAAGGTCTACAGGACTGTGAAACTAGACTTATCTGTAAATTTCCTTTCATAGGGTATTTCCTAGTGCATAAGGCAGATCATGTTATTGGTACAGGAGTTTATGATAATGGCTCTGTATATAAAAATATATTTAGAAAACTTAAAAGAATGCCATAACAGGATCAGAAGAATTTGGGGGGATCCTAGATTTGAGTTAAACATTTTTAACAGTGGTTAAGGTGTTTTTGTTATCTAGATCCTTATCTAGGTAATCTTTGCTAATATCTAAATATCTATCTAAAGGATAGACTCAAATAAGTTGAAACACACATTTCATTCATTCAGCAACAATGTTCATCTCATTTCAGACCTGGATATAGTATGTTAGCGCCTCAATTGCGTGGAATATTCCAGAGCTGTTTTTACATTGATATACCTTAGTAAATATAAAAAAAATCCCCCAGAACTACAATTCATTGATTTTGTGATGAGTGGTACGGTACATCATCTGCTGTGTGTGAATTAATATCACATACTATACCTCATGTGTACTTCTGCTCAAATACCCGATTTTTCCAAAGTAAATTATTACTCCTGGGAATTACTTCCTAGCAACAGGAATAAGCTCCCTTCAAACAGAAAGAGCGGTGAAGCAAAATCACATCTGTGTCTTAAACTGGAGCCTTCCTCAGAGTCTGCTCTCCACAAAATTATCATCAGACTGTGGGACATGATAAGACACTGTGTTTAGAAAGGGAAATGAAAGATAGCAGGACAATATATCACTTTCATGTTATTGCTTCAATAAAGAGAACTGATGTTCAGTTTCCATGGAAATGAAATGTATTTGTATGTCATACGCTACTGTTTGACATCAGTTTCAATGACATACAGGAAACATTTTATGCTTATGTTTCTTATGCTTACTGTATGTTTCCATATTTTGATCTTCACTGATTACAGTGGTTGTCAGAGTAGCACCTGGCATGCAGAAATATCTTTCCATTTGGAATTCTAAATGTACTGCTGTCTGTTGACTCTCAGAAGATGTTTTAGAAGTCCTCTTTCTATACAAACTTTCCAGCTAATTGAAGAGGTTCTTCAAAATTCACCAGCTCTTCAAAATGTCGATTCAAATTCAACATGGAAAATACCAAAAATTGCTTTAGGTTTGGTTATGAAAATGCACTTACCAGAAAAAATGCAAAATGCTGTGAATATTATTATAAATTTGCATCCAGTAAAAATGATGTTTTTCTGCTTTTATGATGGCGGTACTGAATCTGGAAAAAAAAAAACTAAATACCCTGTTTTCGGCTTTGTGGTAGTATATTGTTCAGCTGAACAAATGCATTGTCAAAATGTATGCAGTAACGAATAGTTACTTTCCCAAATGTTTAGACCCTAAACATTTAGATAGAAAACAACAGATAGAAACATTCAGATCAATGTTGAGATCCTTCTACTCTGGTACACGGGAACTTTGAAAATGACACCTGAACTCAGGCCAGAGAGCAGATTTCAATCTGGTACCCACTGTGCACACTTGTCATATTCACTCTCACAAAGCAGACTACTGTCATCCTTAGTTTTGTTATGAAAATTCCCTTGACACGTCCATAGATCTTTTCCTGCTGTTCATAGATATGGAATAGATCCTTCTGGTGCATTCAAGTGTTATGTGATTCAATGAGACACTCATAGGACCAAATCTGTATAACCAAAGAAATATACCAAGTAGATGTCATAGACCTTTCACAAACAAAACTAAACCTGTGCTAATTTAATAGATACAGTATTAAGGAACATTTAATAAGCATGCTCTATTGAGTGCTTTGCTCCAAAACAAAAAAACACTATATTACACAGCTTGCTGTATTATTTTTTGGAAAAACCTGATGTGGCCATTGCTGGATCTGTTGACTTTTTTCGTATGACGTTTGGGCTTTTTACGATCACAGATCTGCTAATATTTTTCATCCTTCTAATTTTAGTGTACAAAACCCTGTCAGTTCTTTTCTGCTCTTGTAAACGTCATTGCTGGGAGGCAAACAATTGGTGGCAAAAGGAAAAGTCCATCCTGGAGCACTGTGGTTCATCAGGCCAGAACTCATCCTGGATACCATAGCATTGACCAGACTAACACCCATTCTCAGACTGAGACTGGATACTGGTCCACTGCAGTGATAACCTGCAAAGAAGCAATGTTGATCTCTACTGATACAGTGGGGAGACTGGAGTAACTG